CCCTCCCCACCTTTTCTTTTCTGGCTGAGTCACTGGAGCGCCTTCCTCCAACCCCACCCTCACCCCTGCCCTGCCTCCTTTCCCCATCCCAGGCCTGGAGCTGGGACTGGGCGGTGGGGGGGCCCTGGTCCAGAGAGCGGGCGGAGGGGCCAGTGATCACAGGCACCTGCTGGCTGCCCATCGGTCCTCAGCACCTGCCCACAGAGGGTGCCCGTTCTGTGTCCGGAGGCCGCTCCTCTGAGTGGGGCAGAGGAGAAGGGTCCAGTCTCAGTGCGCATTTTGGTCAAACACCAGCCTCCCCCTCTGTAACCCCCCAACCTCCAAGGCCTTGTTCCCTCTGCCTGTTGCCAGGTTCTGACTGTATTTTTTCCAGAGGCCTCCGATTGTTTCCTGAAGAAACCTGATCCCAGAGCTCAGACAAAAGCTGGGGCTGCCAGAGGAGAAACCCCATTCTCTCCCCCTCTGTCCCTAACCGCCCCCGCCCCCCCCCCCCGACCTTCACAACCTCCCTCGCTTTGGATGCTGGGTATGGGTTCCAGAACCCGGCTGCCATCACCTAGGCAACAGGGGGCTTTGGTTGCCATGGCGATCAATGTGGGAGAAGCTGGGCAGCCGGGACAAAAGCCCCCACATTCCCCCCACCCCTCCCCCCAACCCCCTTGGGATGGTACTGAGACACATTCCATTAATTTTATTTCTGAAAGGTCTTTTGGGGGGAGAAGGGTCTTGTTTTTGTGACAGGCTCTCTTCCCTCCCTCTCTCCTCTCTGGCCTCCTTTTAACCCCAGATAATCCATGATTGGTTTGAGCAGGGGACTGAGTGAGTGTGTGTGTGTGTGTGTGTGTGTGTGTGTCTGTCTGTCTTGTGGGTGGGGGCAAGATGAACGCAACGGGACACATTCCCTTCCACAGCCTCCCACCTGCAAACCAGGGCCCTTCCCCGTCCACACCAGGTCTTGCCGCCCCCACCGTCCACCTCTGGCATTTCCACTTGTTGGTCTCATCCAGGGCTCCCCTCCCCCACCCTCTTCCCTGGGAACACTGCCCACCCGGGAGACCCTCCAGACCCCTGATTCCTGAGCTGATTAAACAAGGGGAACTTCTGCCCTTGTCTTCGCTTGCCTCCCATCCCCCCCCCCCCCCCCCCCCCCCCCCCCCCCCGCCTCTCCAGATTTGGGTTAGCTTCCTGGGAACTTGCAGGGACAGCCGGTAAGGGGCTCAGAAATTGGGTTCATTTGGGCCCCCTCTGGTGGGGGAGGGAGGAGCATGTCTTGGGCACCTTGAGTTGGGTTGGAAGGGGTGGGTGAAGCAGGCTAGGGGAGCAGGGTTTACGCTGGGTCTTTAATAAATAGCTGGAGGAAGGTAGGGGCTCCAGGCTGAGCAGCTCGGAACAAAGGGTTGGGAGGGGCGGGCACCCTTCTCTGGTTTGAAATTTATCTATAGGGGAAACACAATGGCATCAGCTTCCCTCCTGGGTGTATTTGAAGTGGTTCTGGTCAGGACAGTGTGTGTGTGTGTGTGTGTGTGTGTGTGTGTGTGTGTGTGAGTGTGACTTCTTTATTTAGTAGTACAAACAGCAGGATTTATTTATACCACCTCGCCCCTGAATCTCAGAGGACATGTGGGGGGATTGGAGTATGGGCGACCCTGGAGCCTGTGCATATTAATTCCTTGACTGATGACTCGCTGAGCAGTTTATAAAAGCACTTCTTTCACCCCCCAGGGTCCTTACAGCAGACTCATCAAGTATGTATCATTATTTTCCTATTTTACCAATGAGCCTACCAGGCTACGAAGCACAGAGAAGTGAAGTAACTTGCCTGTGGTCACAGAGCTGGTTGGTGGGAGAGTCAGGTTTTGAATGCAGAGCCTTCGTGCAAATCCCAGGCTGTTTTTGCTCTTGGCTCCCGGAGACAGGAGGCTGTGAGGTGGAGAGTCCTGGTTCTGGTGCCTCTGTCTAGACCCCGTCAGGAGCAGTTCTGTTCCCCTTTACGTCCCCCACCCCCCATAGCCCACTTGCTCTCTTGAACCTCCTGGTGGGGTTCAGGTTTGGGGACCATAGTAGGGCTGCAGCACAGCCAGAGAGGAGCGGGTGAGGTGTTGGCATTGTGTCGAGAGCTAAAGCAGCAGAAAGGTTCTCAGGAGCCGGGGCGGAGGAGGTCAACGTGTGATTGGCAGACAGGGTGCTGAATGAGGGCCTGTTCATGGCAAAGGTATTTAGAACGGGTTAGGCTTGAGTTGACGCGTCATGGCTGTGTCCCCTCAGTGTGTCTGTCACACACTGGCCTTGATGTGGGGCTGTTGACAAACATCACCAGGCCACGGGGTGCCTCTGGGAAGCTGGTGGGGATTGATGTCACCTCCCTGCAGTTGCTACAGGACCCGGAGAGTCAGAGGGGCGGGTCCGTCCACCAGGCGGGCATCGGTTCCTGGCCATGTGCAGGTCAGTCGCTGGTGGATGGAATATGTATCAGCCGCATTTCCTGTTCTCTAGTTGTTGACGGTTTAGTTTAGTGGGAGAAAAGTTAACAACTACACAGAAGCAAACCCGTTTCAGTTCTTCACATAATTCACTTTTCGGAATCATGTGACCCGATGGGTTTGTTTTCTTTCTTTCTTTCTCTTTCTTTCTTTTTCTTTCTTTCTTCCTTCCTTCCTTCCTTCCTTCCTTCCTTCCTTCCTTCCTTCCTTTCCTCTTTTCTTTTCTTTTCTTTTTTCTTTTCGTTTCTTTTGCCCCTCCCTCTCTCCGTCCCTCCCTGCCTCCCTTCCTTCCTTCCTCTGGCCTCCCTCCTCCTCTGGCCTCCCTCCTCCTCTGGCCTCCCTCCTCCTCTGGCCGTCCTCCTCCTCTGGCCTCCCTCCTCCTCTGGCCGTCCCCCTCCTCTGGCCTCCCTCCTCCTCTGGCCTCCCTCCTCCTCTGGCCGTCCCCCTCCTCTGGCCTCCCTCCTCCTCTGGCTGTCCTCCCTTTCTGGCCTCACCTCATCGGCCCCTTTGCCTGCTCTTCCATCCTGGGGTTCCCAGGAACCTTCTTATTTATTCCGCTCCCTAGGTGACCCCGCCCATTCCGTGACTGTGCACCTCCAGTCACACTGTCCTGAGTCTGGCGCCTCTGAAACCGTGCTGCTCACCTGACTGCCTGTCTCAGGGCCCTGAGCTTAGGCCGCTAGAAACGGAGCTCACTGTCTTCCCTCCCAAACTTGCCTCCTTCCCTGCCTTCCCCCGGCTTGTGATGGCACCACCATCTACTCTCTTGCTCAGGCCGGAGATCCTGGGTGCTCCCTCCCCTCAGCCAGACCTCAGTGGGCCCTGTTGATCCTACCACCACTTCGTCTAGCACCCGGCTGTTTGTCACCTCCTCCAGGCTGGCTTTGCTTCCTTGTGTTCCCACGTCTGCTCGCCCCTCCCCCGTCCCCGCCTGTACCACTAAAATCCCTCAGACTCGCCGTCGTGGTGCCTGCTACCTCTCAGCCATCGTCTTCCTCGCTCCTGCTGGCTCTTGAAATACTCCAGGCTCCTTGTCTTCCCGAATTCAGGTTCCTGCCTGTCTCGTCCCCTCCTCTGTCCTCCACTCCACCTGGTTCACTGCTGTTCTTCCTTCAGGCTCAGGTGTCATTTTCTCAGAGACACTTTCTAGAACCATTCAGTTTAAAGTCGCAGCCCCCATAGCTGTCTCTCCTGGCTTTGTGCCCTTTTCCGGCCATCACTCCTGCAGTGCAGTCATCCAGTTTACTTGTTCAGCGTGCCCGTTCCCCGCCAGCCTGGAAACGCGGGGTCGGGTTCCCCCCATCACGCGCCCCCCCCCCCGGGGCCTCGCAGGGTGCATGGTGCACAGGGGTGCCTGCAAGTGAGCTGATGGCCCCGCACGGGGGGGCTGGGAAACACACGTGGGCCTGGCCGAGTCAGGCGCGCTCATGGAGGTGGGCCCGGGAGCAAGGTGCCAGGTTGGCTGCTAGTTGGTGGCCGGTGGGCTCTGAGGACCCAGCAGGCGGCTGGTGAGGGCTGGGGAAGTGGGGAGAAGAGCTCATTCTCCGCAGAGCTAGAAGGTGAACGAATCGAATACAGATGCTGCCCTGAGCACACTCACAGCAGATTCAGCACCGCGTTGCCCGTTTCAGGCCTTCAGGCCTTCGGAGAATGATTTCCGCTGCCTTCTCCTCCCTGCTCCCCCTACCCACGTTACCCATAGTTTCCATCCCTCACCCCGCTCCCTTGTGTGCATGAACACACACACACTCTCTCTCTCCCTGCGGAGCAGCCAGCCTGACCTGGCCTGTAACTGTGGGTATATTTGACGCAGGTGCTGGCGAGACTGGGACAGGAGAGGCAGCTGTGAGCAGCCCCCCACCCCCACCCCGTGGGCACTCTCAGAAGTCGCGAGTGGGGGGAAGATGAGGGGGAAGGAGAGGCCTGGACAGAAGCCAGCTGCTTTCGGCTCTGTGAGGTCTGCATTGGTCCAGCCCGTCAGCCTGGCCAGAACCTGCCCTCTCTGAGCCAGTTTTCCTGGCTGAGAATAAGGACAGCGTTGCCCTGGCTCTCCGCTCCAGGGGGTCCCGGGCTGGGTCATTCCTAGTGGCCTCTGCTGGCCATCTGCCCTGTACCCCGAAGCCGCTGGCACAGCCTCGGGGTGCTCTCTCTAGGAGGCAGGGCAGGAGGAGCCGGGCCCACTGGACGGAGCAGGAACTGGGGTGGACCGGTCAGGGGTAGCGCCGGGCTCGCACAGCTCCCCTGGCAGCCGCCCTTTGGGGATGGTCACCTCTGTGCCCTGACCGCCCGGGAGCTGCCGCTACTCCTAACCGGCGGCTTCCTCTTCTCAGGAGCGCCGCTTGATTTTCTCTGAGACAAGCCCACTCGTCCAGCAAAATAGAGTCCCTCAGGGTGACGGTTGATTTCCTGAAGGTGCCCCTTGGCCTGAAGAAGCCGGTGCTGAAGGAGGTGGCTGTGGGGCCCCCCAAAAGGCCCCGGCCTGTGGCCCTGGAGCGCTACAAGGCGCGGCGTTCAGACGCCATGGACACCGAGTCCCAGTACTCGGGCTATTCCTACAAGTCGGGCCACTCCCGCAGCTCCCGCAAGCACAGGTGGGCAGACTGGGGGCGACAGGGTGGGGGAGAGAGGTGGGCGTGCACAGGGCTGGGGGTAGTTGCCGCTGAGAAGACCCAGGTCCCCCACTCTGACCTGTGCCCCCGGCCGCCCTCCGCAGGGACCGCCGGGACCGCCACCGCTCTAAGAGCCGAGACGGGAGCCGCGGCGACAAGTCGGTGACGATCCAGGCCCCAGGGGAGCCGCTGCTGGACAACGAGTCCACGCGAGGGGATGAGCGGGTGAGCACCGGGGGCGTGGGGCCAGGCCGGGGGTTTTCAGGCTGACCCGTGAGCCTGGACGTCCGTCCGAGGGGAAGGGCCTGGAACCCTGCTCTCTTCGGACAGAGGCCCCATCAGGGAGGGCATCACGTGTCACACGTCTTGGTGCTTGGTGTCCCGAGGTAGGACCTGTTTCCGTAGAAGTCAGGGAATTTCAGCAGAGATCCCTTTGGAAGCCGCAGCCCCCTTCTCCTTTTCTCAGAGAGCTAGGGTGACCCGGGCTGTGGAATGGGAATTGCCTGGTTCCTCTGGGCTGAGGCCCGGCAGTCAGATGCGCTGAGAGCCTGGGGTAGGAGGGGGCGGGGGGTGTGGCCCGGGGGGCGTGGGCAGCCCGGAGTTTTCCCTGCGCCTCAGGCACGGGCTCTGCCGCGCCCTCTGGTGTCGGGCTCCAGAACTGCACCGCCGGGGTCTGGAGCTGGACGCAGGTGTGGGAGGAGTCGGCGGAGACACGCGAGGGAGAAGGGCGGAAGCCCGGAAGGACACTGGGGCGGGGTGAGCAGGTTGCTCTAACCTCTGGCCCGCTGTGCTCACCGGGTAGGAAGGTCAGTAGGCAGACCTCAGTGCTGGATTGGGGCAGAGGCAGGATTTGGGGTGACCCTGAGGTTCTGTGTCTCACGCCTCTGCTCTGGAAGAAGGAGGGGCGCTACAGGAGGTGTGACGGGCACCGGGACTTCCTGGGTCTGGGAGCAGATGAGTGCCTAAGGGAAATGTTCTTTCTCCCTCTTTCCCAATCCCGTCTTCTCCCTGACACCTGGCGTCCTGGGTTCTTGAAGGGACCCCGAGACATGGTCAGCCCACGCCAGTGGGGGAGGGGTAGGCAGTGTGTCTGGAGGTCAACCTACGGTGAGGAGTAGACCCAGTTCCTCGAGCTGGAAGGGGTCAGTACACCCACTTTCTATCATCAGATGAGACTCTTCTGCGCTTGGGAGGGGAGACTCGTCACCCCCTAATCACTGACCCTGTCGGGCACCCCCTGCGCTCCCCATCCCGTGTCTAAGTCCTGTGACTCTGTATCCCCGGGCCGTCTAGGAGTGAAGGGTGTGGGCACTGATGGCCACTGGTGGTCTTGGGGCCCCTCTGTGGGAGGGTGTCCGGCGTCTGCAGAGATAGCTCGACTGGACCATACTCAGGACACTTGACCTTGGCCTGTCTACTCCCTGCCTCCAGCAACATTCGGACGGCAGAGCTAGCTGGGCAGACCAGAGACCCAGAGTGGCCCTATGTCTGCCGTCTCCCATGCCAGGCACTAATCATCTGCCGCCCCCCCCCTGCCCCCCCAGTCCTCTGCCCTTCACCACACTGCCTTTTTCAGGTCACCCCTTAAGCAGAAAGCTTGAGTGGCTCTGGATGTCGGAGAACAGGCTGTCAGTGCTCAGCCTGGCCTGCGGGTGGCCTGCCCAGACTGCACCTGGCCGCGCCCGGCCCTGCCCCTGCGGACCCTGCTCGCTCGGCCCGCTGGGTGCCTCCCTTCACACTAACATTTCACGTTTCAGTGGTTCTTGGGGGTCTCGTTAAAATGCAGATTCTGGCTGAGTCCACGTGGGGTGGGGCCTGAGACTGCAGTTCTATCTAGTAAGCTCCCGGAGGCGTCTGCGCTGCTGGGCCCTAGGCCCCATTTTGAGTAAACAGGCCCTAGAGATTGTTTAGTTCAGTGATTCTCAATTTTGGAAGAACATTAAAATCATCTGTTTTTAAGAAAAAGGTTGACGTCCTCCGGGGTGGGACTGTGCACTGAGGGTCCAGCCTCAGACGCGCCAGCCCTGAGGAGGCCGAGCCTGGGCACACAGTGGAGTTCAGTAAATACTTTGGTGGTGGCATATGGGCTGACTGCCCTCTCTTCTCTCTTGCTGGGCTGTCTCCACCCCCACTTTTCCTCCTTCCCCTCCCCTCCCCCCCACACCCCTCCCCTCTCCCCTTCCTTCCTGCTTCTCCTCCTCCTCTCCCCCTTCCTCCTCCCCCTTCCTCCCTATACCCTTCCCCTGCCCTCCCTTCCTCATCCCTCCCCTCCCCTCTCTTTTCCTCTTTCCCCTCCCTTCCTCTCCCTTCCCCCTTCTCACCCTCCCCCTTCCCCTCTCTTTTCTCCCTTCCCCTCCCTTCCCCCTCCCTCCACCTTGCAATGTCTCCTTTATCCTGAAGCCCNACTGGGGGCGCCTCCGGGCCCTCGCTGAGGAGTCCCAGCTCCAAGATCAAGAACCCTACCTCTTTCTACAGCAATTCCAGGAGCCTGGGGTCTACGTCTTTCGTCTGAGCAGCAACAGGCATCGGAAGATGGTTCGTCTATGATGGTTTGCCTCATTTAAGACACGAGCCCAGGGAAATTCCCCCTCGCCTTAAAAAAAATGGCTTCATAATCATCCCAGACAGATTCCCCAAGGAAGGAGATGCCCAGGGTGTCATACCAAAGCTTCAGGCTCCCACATCCTAACAGATAATTCTGGGGTCCCAAGGGTTCACTCCCACATGCGACGGATAAGGAGGGGAAGATCGTAAGGAGGGTCCAGACATCTCTCACAGCCCTCTACCTCATTGCCCCTCCTCACCCCTTCCGCCTCCCCCTCCCCTCCCCTCCCTTGCTGCTTCTCTGCCTCCCCCCTCCCGCCTCCCGCTCTCCCTGCTGCAGGATGACAACTGGGGGGAGACCACCACGGTAGTGACGGGCACCTCAGAGCACAGCATCTCGCACGATGACCTCACGCGCATCGCTAAGGACATGGAGGACAGCGTCCCGCCTGACTGCTCCCGGCACCTGGGTGTGGCGGCGGGGGCCACGCTGGCGCTGCTCTCGTTCCTCACGCCGCTGGCCTTCCTGCTGCTGCCGCCGCTGCTGTGGCGCGAGGAGCTGGAGCCGTGCGGGACGGCCTGCGAGGGCCTCTTCATCTCCGTGGCCTTCAAGCTGCTCATCCTGCTGCTGGGCAGCTGGGCGCTCTTCTTCCGCCGGCCCAAGGCCTCGCTGCCCCGCGTGTTCGTGCTGCGCGCGCTGCTCATGGTGCTCGTCTTCCTGCTCGTCGCCTCCTACTGGCTCTTCTACGGCGTGCGCATCCTGGACGCCCGCGAGCGCAGCTACCAGGGCGTCGTGCAGTTCGCCGTGTCGCTGGTGGACGCCCTGCTCTTCGTGCACTACCTGGCTGTGGTCCTGCTGGAGCTGCGCCAGCTGCAGCCCCAGTTCACCCTCAAGGTCGTGCGCTCCACCGACGGCGCCAGCCGCTTCTACAACGTGGGCCATCTCAGGTGCGGCGCGGCCGGGCGGGGGCCTGCGGGCCGCTGGAGCAGGTGGGGCGGGGGCGCTGGGCCGGGGGTTAGGAGTGGGGAGAGACCTAGGTTGGTCATCGGGGACCTTGAGAGGGCTGGACAGAGGTGCGCGGCTCGGACGGGGCTTTGGCAATCACTTTTCAAACCTTCCCTGGAGGCGCTGCCTCTTTGAGCCCCTGAGTGGGTGGTCACTGAGATGAGCTGGCCATGCGAGGGCCCCCCGGAGAAGAGCGGAGAGTTCCTCTGCCCCCACCCCCCACCCCAGGCCTCACAGAGTATCAGGGGTGCCTTCTGGTCCTGTAGGGAATCTTGGGGGACTTGCAGGGGGTGAGATGAGCCTTTGCTGGGGACCCAAGCCCTGGGCTTCAGCACAGCAGGGGACTAGGGGCCCCACCCCTGGGGAAGGCCTGGGAGCCTGGTGAGTGGAGCTTGGGCCCTGAGCCAGGCTTCTTGGAAGCAGCCTGCCCCTGTCCTGTGTCCTTTCCCGCCCTGCCAACCTACCCTGATGTCTCCCTCCCCCCCCCGTCTGTCCCTTCTCCCTCCCCCTCCTGCCCTCTCCCCCACAGCATCCAGCGTGTGGCCGTGTGGATCCTGGAGAAGTATTACCATGACTTCCCCGTCTACAACCCTGCCCTCCTCAACCTGCCCAAGTCCGTCCTGGCCAAGAAAGTGTCTGGCTTCAAGGTGTATTCCCTCGGAGAGGGTGAGCGGCCCTGCTCCCCTGCCCTCCCGTCTGCTTCCCGTTTCTCTCTCAGACTCTTCCCTGCTTCCCCAGGCCCTTTGTTCCGTCATTTCCCTTGGCTCCAGGTGGCTGGCGTTAGCTGCTGATTCTCCTTGCTGTCCCTCTATGCCGTGGTGTGTCCCCCTCCATCTGACTCCTCTGCATCTGCTCCCCAGCCCTGGTCCTGAGTCCTCAGCTCTCTGAGCTGGGGTCCTCCCGGTGCAGGAGGGGAGGACCCGTGTGCAGGACCCGTGCCCTCCAGCGCCCTCTCTGGTGCTTTCCTGTGGGCCTCTCCCGGTCATGGCCAGGAGGGTCGGGACGGGAGGCATTGCGACGGGTGGGCACAGCCTCTGGACCCGTCAGGTTGCTGTCTGCAGACCTCCCGGGATGGGAAGCGAGCGTGCTGTGACGTGACCGTCCCTGTGTCTCCTGCTCCTGTGCAGAAAACAGCACCAACAACTCCACGGGGCAGTCCCGGGCTGTGATCGCAGCGGCCGCCCGGAGACGCGACAACAGCCACAACGAATACTACTACGAGGAGGCGGAGCACGAGCGGAGGGTGCGCAAGCGGAGGGCCAGGTGGGTCCCTGGGCCAGGACAGGCTGCCTCGGGGACTGCAGCATGTGGACAGGCTGGGGAGAGCAAGGCCAGGGCCTCCTATGGCTGCAGGGAATACATGAACAGTCATGACGGGGTGCACTGGGTTCTTAGCAAATTCCCATGAGCTGAGCGCTGTCCAGCAGCACACGCCTTCTAGCGCGTGATCCCAGGGGTCTGTCACGGCTTAGCTGGGCCCCGCACTCAGTGTCACAGGCTGATATGACGACTTCCATCTAAGCCTGGGTCTTCTTCCAAGCTCACCAGTCACAGCAGAATCAGTACCTTGTCATCTGGCCTCACTGGCAGCCACAGTTCGCTTTTTCCAGCCAGAACAGGGCTCTCTGAGTTCTGTACCGCCTGGAGAAAACTCTGCTTTTAAAGGTCTCTTGCAGCGAGAGTGGGCCGGCCGGCGTCATGTGCTTCTTCACAACGTCCAGGACAACTGGCTTGACACTTTAATTACATCTGTAGAACATACTGAGATAGCAGAGAGAATGGCCAGGAGATGGGAATCTGGGTCCACAGGCCAGCTGTGACTTCTTCCTATCCCAGCGGAGCTGGGCCTGGAAACGATGTGAGCCTCCCCTGCAGCAGCAGGGGCTGAGGCTGGATTGGACCTCCTGCCAGTGGATCTTGGAGGCCTGCTCAGCTGCTGGTGCCTTTCTGCCTGCAACAAATGAGGTTCTAGGGCTCAGATCTTGGCACTTTTTTAACTTTATATATTTTGAAAGAGACAGGAGTGCGTGTGCGAGAGCAAGCAGGGGAGGGGCAGAGAGAGGGAGAGGGAGAATCCCAAGCAGGCTCCTCACTGTCAGCACAGAGTCCTCCTCGGGGCTCCAACCCTCAAGCTATGAGATCATGACCTGAGCCAAACCTTAAGTCAGATGGTTGACCGACTGAGCCACGTAGGTGCCCGTATTTTGGCACATTCCGTTCTCTCTCATACATACCGTTCTCTCTTTCCTGTTCACATTGTAGCACAAACTGAAGTCATGCCTGAAGGCATTTGCTGCTGCCAGGTCCCACCGTGGTCTGTTGGGATTTGCACAGGGGCCTCAAACAGCAGGGGCCCCCAGGATTTGACCCTCTGCCCTTCCCCCCGCACAGTCTCCAGGCTTCAAGGGAGGAAGTTACCCCTTACTGTGTTCCTGTTCGGACATGAGGCTGGTGTCCCTGCCGTCGATGGCGGATCGGCACCCCCGCTTCTCTGACATTTGGCATGTCTGCGGCCGTCTCAGAAATGGCCCTGGTGGGAAGGAACCCAGAGGCGGCACACGCCCCCTTTTGCCCCAGGGTTTTGGATCGTTATGTTGCCAACGCAGTTCTTGGCCCATAGCACATGTCTCCCTCCCCTGTTCCCTTGGTTGTAACCAGTAGAAGACTTCTCCCTTGGTTCACCTGATACAGAGGGATTTTTTTCAAAGGAGCTTTACTGAGAGACACAGGGGAAGCGCATGAATAACCAGAGAGGCCGCAGCCGGACACGATCCACACATTTACCTTGGCCCTAATCCCCCCCCTCCCCCCCCAGCTATTTGAAGTTCCCAGGGTCCTGGCCTTCCAAACACTGCTGCATGTCTATGTGCTTTTAATGAAAATTGACTTCTTTTCCTGCTTCCCCCGTAACGGCGTTCTTGAGATTCACCACGTTGTCTCTGTATCCTGCGTGTTGCATTTTGTCGCCACCTCGTGGTTCACAGGTGACTCCCAGCCCCTAACGGGCATCTGGATTGTAGTACTGTGTGAACCCGTGAGTTCTCCGATGCCCAGCAGGTGAGGCCTGCTCGGTCTCTGGGGCCCTGTTCGTTCGCCTCTGGCATTTTGGTGTCATGGTCTTGCCTTTGACTTCTTGCTTTGTAGTAAATTGCTTGTGTGCCCCACCCGGGGGACAGATGGTGACGTTGCCCATGCTGCCGTGCTTGAGCAGAAGTCTGTTCTCTGGATGTAGTTGTGTCTGCTAGCTTGTCATCGGTCAGCTGTGACTTGGGATCTTGTGGAGGAAGGTCACGTGCTGCTCTTTCCCAGAGCAGGGTCCCTGGCTCCCTAGGTGTCCCTGGGTTGGATGCTGGGGTTCCTGAGCTGGGCTCACTGAGCTCTACAGCTGTTCCCTGTCCTGTCCCCCCATGTCTGTGCACAGCGCCCCCCACCACCACCACGTGCACATGGCCCCAGAGCCTGGCCCTTGGCTCTGGGTGGGTTTGTGGTGCTTCGAGGGGTTGGGGGAGAGCATTGCTAGGGCTGCTGGAGGGCGGGAGCTGAGGGGGAGGGGGGCGGTTGGTCCAGGCCCCTCCTGTCCCCCCAGGCTTGTGGTGGCGGTGGAGGAGGCCTTCACTCACATTAAGCGGCTGCAGGAAGAGGAGCAGAAGAACCCCAGGGAGGTGATGGACCCCCGGGAGGCCGCCCAGGCCATCTTTGCCTCCATGGCCCGCGCCATGCAGAAGTACCTGCGCACCACCAAGCAGCAGCCGTACCACAGCATGGAGAGCATCCTGCAGCACCTGGAGTTCTGCATCACGCACGACATGACGCCCAAAGTAGGCCCCCCCCGCCCCCCTCCTGCTGCCAGCAGCCTGCCTCGCCTGCACCCCCCCCACCCTCCTGCGCTCTCACCAACACGGCCCTCCCGGCCTTCCCTCTGCCATCTCTTCTCTCATCCCTGCCCGCCCTCCCCACCTCTGCCGCGTTCCCAGCTGGTGAGAAGGGGCAGTCTTCTCCTGGGCGTGGCTGCGGCTGTCCCCGCGGTTACTGCACCCAAAGTCCCCTCTGCGCCCGTGACCTCCAGCAGCTGTTCTTTGCTCTGTGCTCTTCTCGAGCCATGACCCTCCCTCAGCTTTGTCGTCAGCCTCCTAGAATGGTGTCCCAGCCACCCTTGGTGTGGCGAACAGGGTGCAGCGTCCACAAGAGCTGGGTGCAGGGCAGGAGGAATGAAGAGTCCTCGCGGTCCTAGCCCGGTGCAGGGAAAGTGCGGGGACGCGGGTCCTGACCCTGGGGTGCCCTGTCACCTCTGTGGGCCCCGGCTGCCCTGTGCTTAGAACAAGCATCCAGAGCAGATGAGCTCAGCCCCTGGAGCGCGTGGCAGCAGAGCGAGCTGGGCACGTCGAGGGTGGCGGGTGGGTGGGAGAGGTTCCCACGCAGCCCCCGACCCCTCCTCAGGCCTTCCTGGAGCGGTACCTGGCGGCGGGACCCACCATCCAGTACCACAAGGAGCGCTGGCTCGCCAAACAGTGGACGCTGGTGAGCGAGGAGCCGGTGACCAACGGGCTCAAGGACGGCATCGTTTTCCTCTTAAAACGCCACGACTTCAGCCTGGTGGTGAGCACCAAGAAGGTCCCATTCTTCAAACTCTCCGAGGAGTTTGTGGATCCTAAGTCGCACAAGTTTGTCATGAGGCTGCAGTCCGAGACTTCAGTGTGACTGAGCAGCGGCAGGGGTGACGCCGGGGCTCCTGCGGGTCGGGGAGGGCTTGGCTCTCGCCTCCTGCCGCCCTGCCTCCTCCTGCTCCCGTTACTTTTACTTGAATTGACTCCCCCGCCCCCACTGCTCCCCACTCCTCCTTAGTTCCCCTCCTTGAGCGCGGAGAGGCCACCTGCGTCAGCAGAGCCTGGGAAGCTCTCCCCCGCCCCCAGCCCTCACTTGGTGTCATTGTGCAGGAACCATGCCTGTCCCCCCTCCCTCCCAGATGGCATTCCCTTCTGAGAGGGCACTGCCCACCCTCCGAGCCTCCGCCCCCCAACCCGGGCTCTTGTGGCAATTTTCTCCTCTGGCCCTGATGGGGTGTCTCCAGGGGCAGACAGGACCCCAGAGAGCCACGGTGCCAAACTCCCCCAGACGGCGGCTCATCTGCCCCTCCTGGCTGCCCAGCCCGCCTGTTACATACGTCAGGCAGGGTGCTCTTGCACGCCCCCCGCCACAGTCCGAGTTGGGGGGCTCCCTGCCAGGGTCACTGGGTCCGGCCGTCAGAGCCTCCCTTCACACCCACACATGTTCAGAGCGAGGGACGGTCCTGCCCTTCACCCTAAAGTCTCCACCTTCTGTTTCTGGGTTGTGTGGTCTCCTGTGGCCACGGCCAGACTGAGGCAGAAACCCTCTGTGACCACGTCCCCTGGGCCGTGGGGGACCGTGCCCGGTCACTGGGTCTTTCCTGGGCAGCCCCCGAGGGGAGGGCAGGAGGGACCCCGGTCCTCCCAACCTGCCTGTACCTTCGTCCGCGCCTTGCCGGGGCGGGTTCCCCTTCCCGGTGAGGGAGAGCGAGCGGTCCTGCACAGACTGACCTGCACAACGGCTTGCAGACCATGACCTGACCCCCGCGGTCTCGGACCAACGGTTTTCTTCCCTTCCCCCGCCCCAGTGTGTCCTTTCTCGGCGCCAGGGACCTGTTGCCTCATCTCTTTTTGGGGGGTGGGAGCCAGTAGCTCCTCCTCGTCCCCTGCCTTAAGCCCACTTCTTTGCCTCAGGGGTCTCTTTTCCTTGGCTGGCCAGGGTCCCCTCCTCCCCCTGCCTGGTTCTCTGGGCTCTTGTCTCCCTCAGCACTGGGGTGAGGGCCCAGGATTGCTGCCTTCGTGGGCATCAGCCCCTCACCCCATTGAGCTTCCGTAGTCTTTACACCCGATCTGATTTCTCGAGAGTTTACGTCTCGTTTTGAGCAAAATCCACTGGCCTTCCAAGATGTATTTTCAGTGTGGAATCTGAGCCTTTAACTCAGTCACACTTAAATTCTGTAGTTTTAGCCCAGAGGACTGGACGTGGGAAGCACCTGTATACCTCCAGCCTAGTCCGCCTGGGGGAACATTCTGGCGGCTGGGCTGGAGCAGCCCCAGGCCAGGCCCCTGGATAACTCACAGTGCCCCTTTCAGGCCCATCTTCTGGCCAACCTACTACGCTGAACGCCCCCGGGGTAAGGTCCCCAGCCGTCTCTGACCAGGGAGGCTTCCAGTCTGTAGGGCGGCCCCGATGTGATGGAGCATAGGGTCCATGTTTCTCCCCTGTCCTCCCTGAAAAAGCACATCTGTCCACCCACCGCTTCCTAGAGAAGGGCTCTTCAGTTCCTGCTTAACCCGGTCCCCACAGGTGTGGGGTGTGGGGCTGACTTAGGCACTGCCTGAGGGAAGTACATCCTGTCCTGGGGGTCGTGGGAAGGTATCTTCTCTCCAAGGACCTGGTTTTAGGAGGAGTCCCTCTGGGTCACATTTCTAAATACCTCACTATCGTGGAAAATGGGGCCCGGATGGTGATTGGGGTCATTGCCTTTGTGGGCAGGCGTGGGGTGCGTCAGGACCTAAGGACCGAGTTGGGGCGGGCACAGCGAAAGAATTTGGGATCTTTGTTGCTGCCCTAGGTTAGGGGCGGGGGAGTGTTTATTTTAAGAACCTGCCATGTTTTTAATCACTGTGATTTTTTCATTCCTTTTTCGTAAAACAAAAAGTTTCCCCCCACCTGTCTAAGCACTAAGGGCTGTGGCTGAGAATGGTCGTGTTTGGGTCTTTTGCGTCAGAACTGTGGTACCTTTGTCTTCTTTGATTATTATTATAATAATTATTATTTTTTAAAGCGTCAGGATGAATCGTCCAGTGTTTGGCTGTGTTTGTCTTTTGCTGCTCGTACGTGGGGAGCTGTCTTCATGCTGTGAACTGATGTGGGCCGCCTCTGAGCCCCGTACCCCGCTTTGCCTGTCCCGTCCCGTGCTGGGTTTTCTTTCTCTTCTTCTGGGGGGGAGTGAACTCACCTGCGCCTCCCCCCCCCCCCCCGCTCCCCCAGAACACCAGACCACAGGGCATCCTAGCTAGCCCCCAGCGCCCCCACCAGGCCTGCCTCTTCATCACCTGGAACTTTCTCGTTCCTCCCTCCGCACCAGGACGCAGTGCCTCTGGCCTTCACCTACCTCGCCACTCTGCCTCGGCCCCCACCGCTCCCTGTCTCCCCAGCGACCCTTCATGCTCTGGTTGTGCTTGTTTATTGTTTTACTCTCTCATGTTTTCTTCCCGTCCCTCCATCTGAGCCTTTCATTTTTCACCGTTCCTGTTGCAAACCCCGCTACGGTACCTGTGAAGAGGCTTTGGAACCCCCCCCCCAGGACCTTCTCATCGGAAGCATCCGTTCCCAGAGTCTGTGCTCCTCTGCTCCTCTGTTGGGCCCCTCCGTGCTGTCTGTCAGTCTGTCTGTCTGCTCTTTCCCCTGCCCTTCCCCCCAGGGCAGCATCTGCTGATGGATTCGGTCCTGGTGTGTGATTGTTGTGATCTGTTCTGTGCGCGAAAGGAAGGGGGCTGTTTTTGGGTCCCTTCCAAGTGAGATTGTAAATGTAGAATTTGCCACTGTTGAATCTAGGTTGTTTTTTTTTTCTTTTCTTTTTCTTTCTTTTTCTTCCCCCCCCTTTTTTTTTGGGTTACAGAGACCTTGTGCATGCATGTAGAAAATTGTAAAATGTAAATTTTTTTTTAATATATAAAAAGCTTGTTTTTACAGTTTGCAGTGGATCTAAACATTATGGCAATTTTAGGGATTTTTTTTCTTAAACATAGGAACTAAAACTGTACAAATTTTTTTTATATAAAATAAAGACATTTGACTTTTGTGGGGGCATTGTGTCCTTTTTTCTTTTTTTTACTGGATTGGAGCAAAAGTCAGGCCAAGTAGCTGCTCCTTGTTAGGGGGAGAGCGACCAGCAGGGGGCAGTGTGAGCCCATCGTTACTCTCCGCCCCCTCAGGAAGCACGGGACTGGAATCTACCTATTCTGAACCTAGATTCTAAGAGAGAAACCTCGGAAGTGAAGACCCGGCTGTTCCCTGGGTGGCTGTGGATAAGGAGGAAGGAAAGATTACTTTCTAGGTGGGTCCATAGGAATATCAGGCTCTAGTTGAGGGTTTCAGTTAACAGTGATAGCTTATCGCATTTCATTGAGAAAAATTCTGAAGTAGCTCTCTTCTTTCTCAGTATCTTCTTATTTCTACCATGATCTCTCCAATCTTAAAGTCACCGCACCAGAAAGAGCACTCTAGCAATAGTCCTTTATTTACAGTGAAAATGTTCGGTTGGCAGTCTGCATGTAGTCAAGCCTCAAAGTCGTCGTCAGGAGATCGGGACCCTTCTCCCACTCTGCCCGGACCCACACTCCTCTGGGACACTGGGCCCCAGGCTTAGCACACGAGCAGCCTTCTGAGGCCCAAAACAAGCAAGCACATGCAAACGTCGCTGCGTGGAGTTGGTTCGTGTCTTAGATTGGGCCTTCCTCTCCCCGGCCCACGTTTTGCCAGGCTGAAGATGCAGAGACGAGAGACCTTGTTCTGGAGGAAGTTGCATGTCTGCAGGAGGTGCGAGGCCAAATAACCTACTGCAAGGCTGTGTGCTGCGTCCAGAAACCAGCACACGCAGGCCCTGGCTGGCCTCCGAGGAGCTCAGGCGCCTCCTGCCAAGAAATTTAAGGAATTTGTAAGAATCAAGAGCGGGTAACACAATCTCTTTGAGTGCAGGGGGGCTCTAGCTGTTTTGTTCACCTAAGTATTCCTGACATCTCTACCATTCCCCACATACTGTTGGTGCTCAATTACAAGAAAATTACTGAATGAGTAATGAATTTAAAAAACTAACAATACCATAGAGGCATGTCAAGGGGTCGCTCTCTTTTTCTCCCTTTAAAATTGTACCAAAGTCTTTTTCATGTGAAAATGAATAAAAACATTTCCCTTGAAGTGGCATCCCCTGTTCTCATGACCTTCCTTCTGGTAACAGGACTTCGAGTTTCACTTACTGGTTTCAATTCAGCTCGAAGCCAACTTTGTGAGTTCTTGTGGCCAAATTTCTACCCTAGCGTGCTTCAGAAATTATTCTTTCTCTTAGTGGCCAAATACAATAAATACCTTTTGGTTGAGTGAGTCTCTTTCTGGTGGCTGTGATGCCCCCAGCCTGGTACTAAAACACTTTGGTTGGGAGAGGTTGTGGATCTGTCCCTGCCTTCACCGACCTTGTGGGCCCTTGGGGAGCCTGCGTTTAACACCCCCACCCTCCCCCCGCCCCCATCTACACCACTAACACCAGACCCAGGAACCGAGAGATTTAAGGCCTGCCCTCAATACTTGATCTACGGGATCATATTTTCTCTTGGGGGGTTGGTGAAAGCAGAAGTGATAACCCCAACCATTTGTCATAGAACAGAGGACATTTGTAACTGTTGGCCGAGAGGATGTATTTTCTGTGGAAGTACCGCCTGTATTGCTGGGGGCAGGGACTCAGCTCGCTCGTGTGATGCAGGATAATGGCTCATTGCTCCTGGGCCTTCCTGCCCAGATGCGATTTTCCAGCCTTTGCCTGTGAAATGAGACTAAAGGGGAAACCCGGGCCTGGGCCCCTGGGAGGGGAGACAGGAATCTTTAGACCCAGTTCTTAGAAAATCCTTACTCACTTTTTTTGTTTAGGTTAGCTTAATGGTTTCTCCATGAAAAAGAGCAGCTTAACACAATCGCTGGCTTTTTATAGGTTAGTTTAAGCACATGATGGAAATACTCTTCCAAACACTGGGAGGGACGGGTGGGAGGAAGTCAGCCTTTGGAAAACTATTACGGCATTAATGCGAGAGCGGT